AATAAAAACGCATTTCCACATAAAGTATATATATATATATATATATATATATATATATATATATATATATATTGAATATGGCCAAAATTATAGCATTTCAAATATATGGCAATATATTTGGGAAGAATATTTTTAAAAATATATTTCAAATATATTTTTTTTTTCCATATGGGGCAGTAGCTATAGACTGCTGCACTTTGCGCTTTACCTTTATTAAGCTAGCAAAACCTTAAATTCCCATTTCATGCATAGACAAGAGACCCTTTCAAAGCATGGAAAACAATTTCTAACAGAAATAAAATACTTCCAGATCTCCAAAGGCAATAGGATACTACCAATCTTCTCTGTTATTCCGTATTCCTATATTTTGTTAATTTAGAAAACACAACTCCTTGAAGCAATCTGTCTGCTCCTGTGAAAGTCTGTTACACATTATCACAACTGTTATGTGTTGCAGCCATTGCTAACCCTCTGAAAAGCGACCTGTGTCAATCACTCTTCAGAGGGTGGTTGACAGGCAGCTCCTCACCGCCTGTTCTTACCCAAACCACTGTGTCACAACTTTTTGCATTCCAGGCAGCTGCAAAGCAATTTCAGCACGTCCTCATTAACTTTAATGGGTTGTACAGTGTATAGTAGTGGTACTGCCCACTAAATGCAACAGGGTGTTTAATTTGTGCTGCAGCATGTGTACTAGGGTTGCCACCTCACCCCTTTAAAACTGAACACATATTAATTACACAGGTTCTGAGGTTAATTTATTGCACATAAGACACTCGGTTTTACTAACACGTGAAAGTTGTAAAACTTTACTTAGATTTGTTTTACCCTTAGGCGTGAAGGGGTTAATTACACAGATTCTGAGGCTAGTTTAATGCAGATGAAGCTGTAAGTGAGTTTAATTACACCTTAATCAGCCACAGAACCTGTATATTAACACATATTAATGACACAGATTCTGTGGCTGATTAAAGTGGTAATTAAAACTCACTTAGGGCCTCATCTGCATTAAACTAGCCTCAGAACCTGTATAATTAAAACAAATCTTAAAGCCTAAGTAAAAAAACTTTGACATGTTTTAAAACCGTACATATCATCACAACTACTTTGCACATCCAGGTGAATTATACCTTGGTTTTTTTCAGGACAAATTGGGCTTTCATTTGGTGGTAAATGGTAATGAATATCTCCTGATTTTTTTTTTATTGTCAAAGGAAAACAGGCCAAAAATAGTAAAAAATAAAAAAAAATTTTTTTTTTCAAATTTAGCTGTGTGTTTCTTGTTACTACCATAACCTACCACTAAAGAACAATCCAGACTAAATTTTCCAGCTCTTGATGATCGCAGCGATACCATATATGTTATTTGTACCTGTACTACAGCCCAGAAACAACAGTGTGCATTTTGTTTTTTTTTTTTTTTTTTTACCTAAAACACACTGACACTGATACCAATTAAAAAAAAAAATCCTGACCCTTGACTTTGACCTTTTTACCCTCGCCTTGACCCAAACACTAACCCTGGCACTGAATAAGATCAGACCTTGATCTAGGTATTTCTTCTTTATTTATAGTTTTATTTTTTAATATTTATTTATGTTTTCTTTTTTTTTTTTTTTTTTACAAACAGTTGTTTTATTTTTTTTTGCAAGGAGAGAGAGAGAGAGATACAATGTATCTCTCTCCTCCATTCAGAGAGAAAAAAAAACAAGGGGGGAGGGCTTCACACAGTGACTGATCACTGTGATAGCCAAGCAGAGGCTATCGCAGCGATCATGTGACCCGGAATCGAGAGTCCCAAGTCTCAGTGACACCCCGATCTTTGTGCTTGGAGCGTGCTGTGCGGCGCGCTCCCAGCACAAAGACAGGTACGCAAATTTGCAGCCCCACGGAAAAAAGCCCAGTTCTGTGAGGCCGCATATTTATGTGACATCGGCGTCAAGGGATTAATATGTGTTCAGTTTTAAAGGGATGAGGTGGCAACCCTATTACCCATGTAATGGAGGCCTAATACATCTAGAGAAAGTGGCAGTATAATGACAAGCACAGTAGCCCTTTCTTTTTATAAATAGGGTCCTATCATAATTTATCTCTGTTGCCACTGTGCTGTGATCTTTGTTTCTACACATTGTAAAGCTACATTATATGCTCTGACCTTTTCTGTTTGAACTAGTTAGTGAGCATAAAAGAACAAACACTGACACCATATGTGTGGGTTTAACTCTATGCAGTCATCTGGAACACAATGGTGAAAAAAATCCAGCAGAGTGTGACCATACATAATTCCGTGAGCAATAGGGATATATATTGCTGAGAGATTGAAATGTAATACACTTCATATAATTTAACAGTATAAATAAATATATATATATACAGGGGCGGACTGACAACTCATGGGGCCCCCGGGCAATAGGGGATCATGGGGCCCCTGTGTCCTTGCCCAAACTCAAAAAAGCCTATGAAACAGGTACCAGGGGCATCTCATGGGGCCCACTACTGACCCCGGGCCCTCGGGCAGTGCCCGAGTTTCCAAATGATCAGTCCGCCCCTGTAAATATATATATATATATATATATATATACCCCCATACATACACTCACACCTGCACACTCTGTATAAAAAAAACTCTGTGTACTTACCTTCTCTGAATCCAGTTTGGTCCTGTGATTCTGCAGCTTCAGCTCCCCAGCGTAATGGGAACGTTCGACAATGGCTGTGAATTCCGAGAGAGCAATGATGTCACCTATAGGTTTCTCTGGTCCAGACATTGTCAGCACTCCCTCCTCTCCCCTGCGTAACGGGAACGTTCGACAATGGCTGTGAATTCCAAGAGCTGTGATGTCACCCATAGGTTTCTCTGGTCCAGACATTGTCAGCACTCCCTCCTCTCCCCTGCAGCAGCCACTCACTGACACAGAGGAGCCAGAGCTGCAGGATCATGTTATCGAAACGGATTAAAAAAGAGGTAAGTGCACAGATCTTTTTCATGCAAGGTATGCATGATGGGTAGGAAGAGGGGCCGGAAAGTTTTTAAGAACAGTTATAGTATTATTATTTATAAAGCTTTCACGCTGTACATAAAAGGGGGACAGAAATGAGTAAATTCACTAAACATTCACTGCGGGTGTATCTTCCTGGTGCATGTGTATTAATATACGGTGAATGATTCGCCACCAGTAAATGCGTGATGAATGTCATATTCACTGATCTATAAATATCCCCCTAGTTACCATTGTGTACCTTGACACTGATTCACCTTATTATTCATTGAAGCTCTGCTGCATTTAAAGTGATATCTCCAGAGCCTCCCCCATCCTCTGGAACTCTCTACCCCAATCTATTTGACTATCAACTACTCTGTCCACTTTTAGGCAATCTCTGAAAACCTATCTCTTCAGGGAAGCCTATCCTGCCTTCAGCTAATAACGAAATCTTCTATTCCTCCTATCAGTTCATCCCCCACAGTTATTACCTTTTGTACCACCAGCCCCTCCCTCTTAGATTGTAAGCTCCAAGGAGCAGTTCCTCTTAACCCTTTTGTATTGAACTGTATTGTTGCTGTATTGTCTCCCTTTATATTGTAAAGCGCTGAGCAAACTGCTGGCGCTATATAAATCCTGTATTATAATAATAAAGGCAATATTTTTTTTTAAAACAACAAACATGTTATACTTACCTGCTCTGTGCAGCGGTCAGAGCAGCCCCGATTCTCCTCTTCTCGGGGCCCCCCCCCTGGCACTCCTGTCCTCTTCTTCCTGCCAAGTGCCCCCACAGCAAGCAGCTTGCTATGGGGGCACCCGAGCAGACTTGCTCTGTGTGCCCTGTGTGCCCATTCACACACAAAGTCGTGATACAGCCCACCACCTCTCTCTCCTCATTGGCTCACTGGCTGTGATTTATAGCAGTGGGAGCCAATGACTCCCACTGCTGTCTCAGCCAATGAAGAGGGAGAGTCCCTGGACAGCCAAGGCTCTCATGCACATTGCTGGCTCAGATGGGGCTCAGATAGGTATTGAGAGGTGGGGGGGGGGGGGGGGGGCTGAGGGGGCTGCTGCACACAGAAAGTTTTTTACCTTCATGCATAGAAAAATCTAAATTATGCAGTTCCCTAGTAAAAAGAGGCTACAAATGCATGCTGTGTCAAACAGACGTAATAAAAATATAACTAATACAATTATGGACTGTGGCACTAAGGATTTTTCAAACAAAGTATTACAAAGTTTTACAAAATGTTTTTCTTTCATGACTATCTCAACTGCTTAAAGCGGACTTTCACCCTCTCAGTCAACACTGACTATTTCTAATCCTTATGCTGCTAGCATTAGTAATTAGATAGGAAAGTATATCATATTTACTTGTTTTATTTCTTCAGTTACTTCCTGGTTTCCATGCCTAGGCAAATTATGTCATACATCCCAGGAGTCTTTAGGAGGGGAGGAGGGGTTTTCTTAGCTAAGCACAGCCTCCTGCCTGCATGCCTGAGCTACGGGATTCCAGGCAGTAAATGCTACAAGAATTATGTGCCCTTACTCAAGATGGCCACAGCCAGAAAATCAAGGGGGTGTTTTTAAACATGATTTCTAAGCAAAAGAAAACATGGTGATTTGGATGGATGGGTGAATTTGCTTTGAATATTAAAAATGAATTAAACAGCGTTTTGGTTTGTGGTGCTCAGAAGCATGTGTAGTTCTGCTTTAAAGTATGTATGAACACTCACCTTGTAAAACAACTCGTTCAGCTTAAAATAGAAATGAAAGGTAAAGTATTTTTGTATGCATATAATAAAAAGCATTATAAATACCCCTTTCCCTTTTTTGTTCTCAGTTGCATAAGAAGCTCAAGAAAGAGAAACAGCAGCACACTGATCTTCCCAGTGAATGGCTGTGGGTTGAGGACAGGGGCAGACTGACAACTCATGGGGCCCCCGGGCAATAGGGGATCATGGGGCCCCTGTGTCCTTGCCCAAACTCAAAAAAGCCTATGAAAAAGGTGCATCTCATGGGGCCCCTTACTGACCCCGGGCCCTCGGGCAGTGCCTGAGTTTCCAAATGGTCAGTCCGCCCCTGGTTGGGGGTGCATGTCAGCTCAAGTTTGATCATAGGAGGAGAGCAGGCTGAGTTCCAGCACAGCTAGAGATCTGACCATGCTGTGCTCTCCTGCTTAGTATGGTCAGTTTTTATTAGGAAAGCAGAGGGAGTGGCAGAATTACCAGGGATTTCACACAAAGGAAGCAATACAAAGGGAACAGGATACTTTTTCATGCAAGTACATGGTACAGCAAGCACAAATTAGGAATATGAAATGTTGGGTTTACATATTCTTTAAGCCTCAAGAAAGCAAGCACCAAAGCAGAATTGTGTTTTTATCACTCTGCTGCCTTAGGCTTTGAAAATTCCTATAGGCTTGTATGGGTCTGGTGGTTAGTTCTGAGAAGATTTAGAAGAGGCCAAAGGTCTCAGCCCTGTACAGCACTGGGACTTACAGCCAGGAGTTGGAGTACATAAGCATGGTTTACACAGCTTTTTCCTTCCACCAATACTCTGTGTAATACAAAGGGTAGTTAAAATGTTAATAAACCCTGGACCCTACATTCACTATATCCGATCTCCCACAGTACACAGAACATGGAATGCAATTATTTTAGTAAATATAAACTGCTAAATACCTTTTCTCTTTAGCAGTTAGAGCAATCTTATGACTTCTGCCAGTGTTCAGCAGAGCACTGGTTAAAGCTTGTAGGAGGAGTTTTCTTTCTGCTTTAGGAGGATGTGAATCCCCTGACCTCTGTCTGGACAGTGCTGATTGGCCCTGTGCTGATCACATGCACTCTCCCAAGAAAACTAAAAACCTCTCTAGCAATACACACTAAACTGAGCATGTGCATGTGGCTACTAGTTCAGTCTGTCTTATCAGATGGACAACTAAACAAGAGGAGGGGCAGAGAAGACAGGATCAAACAACCTTTTTAGACAATGCAGAGGATTAACCCCTTAGGTTCCACAGTGAGTATAACAAGCATGCTTTACTGCATATACAGACTGATTTTACTGTTGTGGGTTTAGTAACACTTTAAATAATGATCTATGATCTCTTGACATATTGTATACATACAGTGCGCACATGGTTATTTTGCTAAATATATTCAACGTCTTTTTTTTTTTTTTTTACAGTTTTGTGTCTTGCAGCTGTCTGCTATGAATATTTTATAGTGCTTTACATAAAATATATTGCATTTTGCAAGCAAGAGCAATTGTTTCCAGGACATGTACCTGAGTACGAAGCTTTTATTTCTTCTAATGGATTATAATGGTAGAGTCCTACTAATATGAGTATGGCAGTATAAAAGAAGCAATATTTCCTCTGGCAGCAGAACTCCTTTTGGCTGGGTTCTATGTTAGCACCTACCAATCTACAAAATATTCCCAGCCCTTCGGCATAGAATTATTCATCTAAAAGCAGCAGAAATCGCTTCCATATGGTTCACAGTCACTAGAGTCTCTCTCTGACATATGTGAGCCTTTCTAAATATCCTTTGTGTATTACTTACAATTATAGGTTCATCAGAACATGTTTTTCTTAATCCTCATGGGCCTCTTGGTCCCTATTGGTTTCTCTATCAGATATCTCCAAACATATGGAAGATGTTTTCAAGCTACAAATTACATGATGCACGATGTGAACACTTCTGATACAATAATCAAACCAGGTATGCAAAGTAATCACCGCAGACGAGTGTCACCTTATGGGCTGGAAAATCCTTAAAGTGTTACTAAACCCACAACAGTAAAATCAGTCTGAATATGCAGTAAAGCAAGCTTGATATACTCACCTGAGGGGTTAATCCTCTGCATTGTGTAAAAAGGCTGTTTGGTCCTGTCTTCTCTGATTCTCCCCTTCTTCCAGTGTCTTTCCTCTTATCTCCTGATAAGACATATTGTGTGGAGACACTCTGCACATGCTCAGTTTGGTGTGTATTGCTAGAGAGGTTTTTTTTTTTTCTTGGGAGAGTGAATGTGATCAACACAGGGCCAATCAGCACTGTCCAGATAGAGGTCAGGGGTTCTGCATCTTCCTAGAGCAAAATGAAAACTCATCCTACAAGCTTTAACCAGTGCTCTGCTGGGCACTGATAGAAGTCACAAGACTGCTCTAACTGCTGATGAGCAGTTTATATTTACTAAAATAATTGCATTGCCATGTTCTATGTACCGTGGGAGACCATATACAGTGAAAGCAGGGGCCTGGGTTTAGTAACACTTAATGGACATCAGCACAGGGTAGTGGATGTTCATGCCAGGCGAAAGATAGCTGTCAAAGGCACTGATGTATTACTTCAGTCATGGCTTCAATCATCAGCATTATGTATGGCCACATCTGCATGAAAGTAAAATGCTGGCCAAACCTGAAACTTGAAAGCCTAGCAACATTTAAAAATTGCTGGCGTTAAATGAGTTGTTAGACATCCACTAAATGAAAAATAGACTTAAACCTTAAGTCCAGACATTTGTTTTAGTTTCCTTTTAGATAGCATTAGGAAGAGTTGAAATTTCTGTCTGTGACTACATCTGTGAGATTTTCCCTGACTTCCTGTCCCTATGACACCCATACAAAATATGGTAAGTGTGGTCCTCTCTAGAGCGCTCAGATAGTGGGGAAATATCATTGCCTAGTATAGTGAAGCCAAGACATCAGCAAATTTGGGGTCTTGTCATCCTTATTTCTATTACAAGGGATGTTTACAGTCCTTGTAATAGGAATAAAAATGATTAAAAAAAAAGGACAGTGTAAAAAGAAAAAAAAAAAACATTTTTTACAGTGCCCCAATACCTCACGCTCAGAAGTGAACGAATACATAAGTCACGCACGCATATGTAAACGGTGTTTGCAGCACACGTGAGGCATCTCCGCAAACGTCAGAGCTAGAGCAATAATTCTAGCACTAGACCTCCTCTGTAACTCTAAACATGTAAAAAATGTTAAAGCGTCGTCTATGAAGATTTTTAAGTACCGCAGTTTGTCACCATTCCACGAGCGTGCGCAATTTTAAAGGCATCTGCTTACTTGCCATAACATGCTCTTTTAAATGTTACAAAAAAATTGGGGTACATATTGTGTTTTGTTTTTTTTTTAATTCATTAAAGTGTATTTTTTTTTTAAAAAATTGCATTTGAAAAACCGCTGCGCAAATACCATGTAACATTAAAAATTGCGACGATGGTCTTTGCTAAAAAAAAATAAATATAATGTTTGGGGGTTAATGGACAATCTTGAGCTATGTATACCAAGTCTAAGACTAATGTTGTCATATATAAAAATTCCAATTTTGACAATGCACATTCCTTGGGAATATGTAACAAATGTGAGGAGACATCTGACCAGTGTATCTCTATTCAGGTGCACGTTCCATAGCATTCATGCGAATGTCCTTCCTAACTTTATATTCTTTTTATTTAACCTTCAGACCATCTTTTACATTGTTTCTTCTGGGGATATTGAATCTAATATGTTCCAGTTTTTACCACCTCCTCTAATAGGAATGTTAAATCATGCTATTTTATAGTACTATTTTCATTTACTAGTCTTTAACATTATTTTCCATTACTACCAAAATAATTATTTTTATGGTACATAAAATCAATATCATATGAATATGAATTAAAAAAAAAACGCTCTTGATAGCGGAGATCCTTTTGCGCTAAGCCCTATCACCTAAATGAACAGCTCAGCTGCCAGCACTAAAATGTAAACACAGAAGAGCAAACAAATAATATATAAGTTGTTCAGTGCTTTATATTAAAGATTTCCCCCATATCTGATCTGAGGATTTGATCTGTAGATCACATATGGAGGTGATTAGTTACTACATAGCCATGCACTACATACAGTATATGTTATATAACATGAATTACATTAGTAATGTAATTTTTTTATATTTGTACTATTATTTTATGCATTCATATGCTTGTTACATTTTTTTATTAGGTATGATTTAGTTCATATACTATGCACATATCAATTTTTTGGTTTTTAGTATACTCCATATATTTTATATGATAATTCTACACTTTTGTTTTTTATCAGCATCATCCTCACCAATATTATTTGGTTGCTAAGGCTGCTAATGCTATTATTATTATTATTATTACTGTTATTATTCTAAAAATAGTTCTTTATTAATTATGATAATGCCAATATTACTAAAATTTGCCAATAATAACAGTCCAATTTTATTGTGTCCATATTCTTACTAATCTATAAAATGCCCTCACTGGGTTTGGTGATTTTTTTTTATTTGTATATGTATTATTATTATTGTCATTATTATATTTATTATATTTCTGTCCCTAAAATTCTATTTATGTATCTATCAATATTTTTAACCATGCAACCTAATTAAAGTGATGAAAAACATTCAATTTTTTTTTATTTTTCTCCTTCCCTATTATCTATTTCTACTATTGAAAACTATTTGTCTTCCTCAGTGACTAGCTGCTTTTTTCTGGCATTTTTTTTTGTTCCAGAATATTTATTGAGAAAAATTACGTGTGATACATTACAAAAACCATCTGGTACATGAAGCAGCAGCCAACATAGGATCTGCAGTACAGTATCAATATGTATGAACAATCAGAGGTTACAAAGTGTCAACCAACAATTAGATAAAAAGGAGCATGAGCTCAACTATGGAAAAAAACTAGAACAGTGTCTCAACAAAATGCATGAAAGCGTTACTCAAGGGACGATGAGCCATAACATTGATTGCGCCCCTATTTAAAAATGGGCTGGGGTCAGTATGTAGTGCATGGGGATAGAATCGTAGGATGGTCAATAAATGGGGGTTAGGTGAAAAGGGGGTAAAAGGAGCAGGAACGGGGGGTAAGGAATCCAGTGAAGGGGAAGGTTAAGTGAGGACAGGGAGAGTCACAGGATGGGGAAGAAGAAAAAAAAAAGGGAAAAAAGAAGGGAGGGTGAGTAAGAAGAGAGATGGTGGAGAGGGGGAGGAGGGGAAGAAGGGGGCCCCCCCAGAGAATACCTATCACCTTGTCGCTCAACCAGGGGGGGCAAGTGGAGGGAGGTAAAACGTGAGGCATGAACCTAGAACAGATCTGTCCAGGGACAGTGTTGCTTGTACAAGTCTGAATCAGTAAACAAGAACCACTGCTTCCAGGTGGTAGTAAATGAGGATATCATTTCTTTGCTAGTATGTACCAGTTCCTCCATCTCTCTCACCTGTTCAATGGGATGAAACCAATCAGAGAGTTCCAGGGTCTTAATCGATCTCCAGAGCCTAGGGATAAGTGTCTTAGCTGTATTCAGTAAATGCATGGTCAAGGATCATTTGTACATAGAGGGAAACAAGTCTGTATGGTGTAGAGAAAAGTTGCAGGTTCAAAGGGCGGGTCAAGGTCTGTTATCTATTTAGGCGTTGAATGTACATGTAGGTCAAGAAAGGGCATATCCAAGGACAGGATCACCAAATGTGTAAAAATGGCCCTTTATCAGATTGGCATCGCCAACAAGTGTCCGGTACATCTGGGAAAATGGTGTGGAGCCATGTCAGGGTATAGTACCATTGACGACAGAGTTTTTAGTTTGTTTCCTGGATTATTTTGGCATTTTCACCTTTTCATCTGTTTTCACTTCTAGAATTTTAGCTATTCTGCCACCCTTGACCATGACCAAGTATTTTTAAAGGAGGGCTCTGTATTTTATCAATGTCACATTTTGCCCAGCTTTTATTTTACTGCAGTCTTATTTCACTACACCTGCTTACACTGTCATCTATTTATGGCAGAAAAATCAGCAATGAAAAGTGTCAAAAAGCATTCATATTGATAGATTTTGCTTCCTACTTTATAAATCTAACCCCCAAGGCATCATTTAAACTTTTGTGAAATTTCATGTTCAGAAGTGGATGAGTACTTAATGTTTCATAAATATGCAGTATGCATGAATGTTTAGTATAAGACAAGTCATTTGGTAAATTCCACAGAGCAAAACAAGACTGATTAACATGTTAAGTGTTTGCATGAAATCATAGTTTCCTGCAAAATTCACAGTTTTTGTTCTCAAATACAAACTTATCACCAAGGTGTGCATTGAGGAGAAAATACAGCTAAGCAAATATCATGTTTTTTTTAAAGACTGCACAATATTTGCTGTTGAATCACAAAAAAATACTGTAGCTATAATAAGTCAGAGAATCACATATGCTCAGAGTAACGTAATCTTCCTCATTCTATAGTCCACCAGGATGTATGCTGAGCTTCCATATGTTTACAGTTTACCACATATTAAGGGCTACAGTAGATGGGCTTTGTTTTTCCACATCTATTGTGGGCTTGAAGCATGCTTTTAATATCAGTCCTCAGTCCTCATGCACACTGGACGTTTTCACAGCGGCTGTTTTTGGCTTTTGACGTTTTTTTTTCTACAGCCAGTAAACTCCCCAGCATGTTATCCTATGTGTCCATGCACACGTAGGTTTTAATCAGCGTTTTTTTTGGCTGGAAAAAATCCCCAGAACTAGTGGGTTTCTAGAGGTGTTTTTTCAGCTGTAAAAATACTCTAACACTGAAAAATGCAGTAAAATGCGGTAAAACTAAAACAACATTTGTGGACTTTTGTTAAAAAAACGCAAACATGGAAAAAACACAGCTAAATGCTACTGAAAAAAAAGCTGAAAAACTTGCGTTTTTACCTCGACTATTAACGCCCAGTGTGCATGAAGCCCAAGTCTGTAGATATCTATTTACTGTGATTGTGTACTGTGGATAACCCTTTTCAAAGCAGCATTTAACCTTCTTTGTATTGCAAAGTCCAACTGACATCCATTCTTGCTGCTTTGAAAGTTCTCCAAAATGCAGATCAGACAAGAAGATTTGAAGGAGCAGGATGGAAAAACGTTCTTGAATGAAAAATCTCTAACAGTGAATGTAGTTTTCATTTGGGAAAGTCCATTAATTCCAAACTCAAATGTTAAAAGCAAAGTACCATCAAACGACATTCCAAT